CTCCTCCTCCTCCTCCTCCTATTCCTCCTCCTTTTCCTCCTCCTTTTCCTCCTCCTCCTCTTCCTCCTGCCCCTCGGCTCGAAGCGGAGGCGAGGAGGGCCCGCCCCCGCCCAGCAGGCGGAGGCCCAGCCCGTGACGCGCCTGGCCCTCGACCACGCCACAACGGCCCCCGCGGCGCAGCTGGCCAAGGCCCCGGGGCCGCCGAGAACAGGGCGGCGAGCTCCTTGCTTTGCAAGGGGTCCAGGGGCATGGAGTGCTCGGTATGGTGCAACAAAGAGGTTGCATTTGAGACGCGTTTTTTTCCTCATCTGTAGTGTCATTTTGCTTTGGGAAACAAAGACAAAACGAATATCGTGCGCTGGGGGGGAAACAAAAAAAAGGTGGCCGGAGTGGGCCACAAAGATGGACAACAGTTCTTGCCCAGTCAGGGCCCCCTCCGATCAGAGTCGAGATCGGTCCCGGCCGGCCCGACCAGGCTCGGTCCGGTATTCCGACGATCCGGTGCGGGGGGGTGCTTGCATGAGCGCTGTTGTGCGTCTTGGCGCGGCCGATCCGACTTGAAGCCGATTCCGTGCCGGTGAGGCCCGATCCGATCTGATTCCCCGACTCGATGCAGGCTGATATTCGCCGTCGGGGCCGCCGCGGGCGATGTCCACCAGGGACAGACGACGCTTACCCAACAGCAGCCGCTGCCGACTCCGGGCAGCATATACTGTGGGGCATCGTCCCCAGCTTGTCCAACCCTGTTTCGAGCGCGCCCGCTTACAGTAGGTGCCCGACCACAAGAAACCTTCAACAAGAAACCCAGCCCTGAGAACCCAGGGCGTCCCTTGATTTTTGGTATGGGAACCTCACGCTCTCCATCGCGAAACCACCGACACCCAGGGCACCCAGGGCACCCTGGAGGCGAGAAGGGTGCTTCTTGGCATGGGCCCCACTTGTACGACGGGCGTTCTATCTCGGGGCTCCAGCGCGTCTATATCGGGGCTTCAGCGCGGGCGCGGGGCGCGGGCGAGGGCGCGGGTGTGCTGGGCTCCCCCCGCCGCCTTCGCTCGGACCGTGCAAGCAAGAACCGGCCACCCGCGCTTGCTCCGAGGCCCCGCCGTCCCGACAGGTGGTGAGGGCGAGGGGCAGGAGGAAGAGGAGGAGGAGGAGGAGGAGGACGAGGACGAGGAGGAGAAAGAGAGGAGGAGGAGGAGGAGGAGGAGGAGGAGGGTGGCGGAGGGGGTGGAGGAGGAGAGGAGGAAGAGGAGAGTAAGGAGGAGGAGGAGGAGGAGGAGGAGGAGGAAGAGGAAGGGAGGAGGAGGAGGAGGAGGAAGAGGACGACGACGACGACGAGGAGGAACGAGAAGCACAGGGAAGGGGGGCACGAGCAAGAAGGGGGAGGACACCTCCCCCTCCCCGACGACGGCAAAGACCACAAAGATGAGGACGCTGACGACGACGACAACGACGGCGGCGACGGCGGCGGCGACGACGACGACGACGACGACGACGGCGACGGCGACGGCAACGGCGACGGCGACGGCGACGACGACGACGACGACGGCTGCGGAGACTTCGCGGCGACGACGGCGGCGGCGGAGACCTCGCGGCGCTCAGGACGCGGCCACGCCCGTGGCGGCCCAGAGCCGGGCCGCCCCGGGGGCGCAGGCCGCCCAGGCGGCGCCCCCCCGAAGCCGCCCCCTCTTGCCTCGTCCTCGTCCCTCGTCCCTCGTCCTCGTCCCTCGTCCCTCGTCCATCCTCCTCCGCCTCCTCCTCCTCCTCCTCCTCCTCCCCTCCTCCTCTACCTCCCCCCTCCTACTCCTGCCTCCTCCTCCCCCTCCCCCCGAAGCCGCCCCTCCCCGGAGTGACCTTTGGTGCGGGCCCAATGCGGTCCCCCGATCGCCGAGAGCGATGCGACAGTGGCGTCCTGCGCGCTCGTGTTTGGTCCCAGGTTGGTCCCCCCGCGGCCCCCAAAAGGACCGCGCACCATAGGTCACTCTTACCCAGCGTCCCTCTTGCGTGTAGCCGAGAAACGAGGATGGAGGAGGAGGAGGAGGAGGAGGAGGAGGAGGAGGAGGAGGAGGGGGGACATGGAACATGGATTGTCCTGGGTCCTGTGACTCAGGCCCAGAAAGAAGGCGGTGAAACGGAGGATGCACTAGCCTTGCGGAGCAAACCTCCCGAGCCGCTCGATCTTGCGGGCACACGTACGGCATAGCACCGGCTTTGTTTTGTGGTAGTAGCAAGCCGCTGAGCACGAGCGTGTTCATGACAAGGCGGCCAGGAGCCCTGATAAGCACCAGCTTCATAAGACGGAGCGTCACGATCATCCGCAGCGTCCTCAGCAGAGAAGCGTGCTCGACGGACAACATTATGTGCTTCGCCATGAGCATCAGCAGGAGCCCTGGGACCGGCGCCGAGGAGCAGGTGGGTGTTCGGCAACACGACACCTACCAGCAGCAGCTGGAGGACAAGGAGCGGATCGACGATGAACCCGATCATCACGAGCAGGGGCAGGATCGAGGCGAACAGCAGGGGCTTCACCACGAGCGCCGTGCTCCTCTTTGCCCACAAGCGGCGGCCGCGCGGCCACATCAGGACGACCTGCACCAGCTTGCCGAGCAGCTTGAAAGCACCCTTCAACACTGCCCGGGCCAGAGCCGCCACGCAACTGCTGAGCGAAGGCGGCGCCAGTACGGGGGCGGCCGACGGCCGCGGTGGTCGAGCGCGTCTCCGCAGCGAGACAGGCGCTGCACTGCGCGCGCATGCCCTCGGTCGCTGTGAGCGCGGCGCTCGGCAGCCGTGCGGCGCGGCCAGCTAGGGGCCACTCACGGCGGAGATGGGGGACGAGGAGGAGGAGGAGGAGGAGGAGAAGGAGGTGGAGGTGGAGGAGGAGGAGGAAGAGGAGGAGGAGGGGGAGGAAGGAGGAAGAGGAGGAGGAGGAGGAGCAGGACCAAGGTAAACCCAAGACGCATCAACGATATTGCAATAAACCCTCCCTCCATGTTTCTTGATCATAGGTCCTTGCAAGAAGTTGCTGGCCTTCTGGGACACGGCCCATTGAACGGCAATCGCTTGGGAATCGTCAACTGCGCCAACACACAATCCCTGGGACTTCAACGCCGCGAATCAATGTCATTGTTGCGTCGTGGCACCCGTAAACCGTGCAAGAGCTTGGGATTTCAACGCCGTCAATTAATGTGAGCGTTGCGTCTTGACAATCCTAAATCGTGTCGGAGCGCCATCATTGTGATTCTAACCCCGCGGCCGAGTACAAAATGAATGATTAAGACGAATGGTCCCAGCGCTAAAGTGAGAACCGCATGTTGGAAAGGAGCCGCCCTCCATCTTTGAAGCCGCTGCAAACTTTTAAGACGAATGTGGGCGGCGCTGAGGCCAGAGACATATTTTGAAGAAGGCTCGCCCTCCATGGAAACCGCAGCAAACTTTCAAGATGGATGTTCGCAGCGCTAAGGTGAGAGCAACCTTTGAAAGCCATCCGCCGCCCATCGTTGAAATTGCTGCAAACGTTCAAGCTTCAGGGTCACAAGTGGTGAGGAAGTCTCAGGCACGCCCGGCACGCCCTACCAACACGTCTGTGGGTGCGACAGGGAGGAGTTATTGATGCGGAAAATGGATGGAGGAGAAGTAAGAGAGGAGGAGGAGGAGGAGGACGAGCACGAGGGAGGAGGAAGGGGGAAGTTATCTCTAAGGAGAAGTGATGGACGAGGGGGGGGGGAGGCTTTATGGACCCTTGACCCGCGTGGCCCACGCGGGGGCTGGACGCGCGGGGGTAACCCCGCTCAACGCAAATTCGGTAAGGGTAGGGGGGGGCGTTTGGAGGAGTGGGTATTATGGATGTAGGAGGCGGTAGAGGGCGGGGGGTGTGATGAGGCGGAGGACGAAGGAGGAGGACGACGAAGAGGAGGGCAGTGAGGAGGAGGATGAGGAGGAGGATGAGGTGAGGAGGAGGAAGGAGTGGGTGGGGATGAGGAGGAAGGAAGGAGGAGCATGATGAAGTGGAGAGGAGAGAATGGGGAAGGAAGGATGACTGAGGTGGGGGTGATCGGAGGACGGAGGACGGAGGAGGAGGACGCAGGAGGAGGGGGAAGGAGGAGGGAAGAGCGAGAAGTGAGAAGGGAGGAGAAGGTGGATCAATGTTTTCGGACGTCTGTGGATTGCTTCAAACCTTCAGACGAGTCCGCGGGGGGCTCTGGGGGCCTCTGGAGGGGAACATCTCCAGGGCGTGTCGAGTTCCTGGAGGTTGCTCGCCGCTTCCGGCGGCTCGAAAAAAACAAGCCGTCGGAGATCTGGGTTTGCCGATGCTTCACAGCTCGTCCTTGCCACTGCCGCCGTCGCGGCGGACCGCGTTGCCATCGTTGGTGGTCGTCGTCGTCGTTGGAAGCGATTGCCACCTCAATGCCGCATCACTTGTTGCCGTCCGCGCCCCCCTGTCGCAGACGCCGATGGCACGGCTCGCCGCGCTGGAGGACATTGCGGGCGGGGCAGCTGGGGACGAGAGGGAAGGGCACAGTACATCCAGGACCCAGACCTCCTGTTGATAACAAAATCCCGCACCGCTTTATATGATTGTCGCGATTCCCACCCTCCTTCGCGCCCCCTTAATTTCACGTCGAAGGGTTGCAGAGCGAGTTGTCGATCGCCCGACTGGCCTGAAATCTTGCACCCCACCCACCAAGCCAATCAACATTGAGTCGGAGCAGGAAGCACCTGGTCGAATTTGCGCGAGTGCCCTGTTCGCGCGGCCAGTACAGGAAATTGTCCATCAACCGTACTGTGTCACGAAAAGTCACGACGGCCGCTTCTTAGCAGCGTGGGCGTCAAGGGAACACTTGCCAGGCCCAGTCGAAAACTACCCGCGACGACAAACTATTCCCGATGATGAGGTCAAGAGCTCCGAAAGAGCGTCTTCTGTTCACGTTGGGAGGAATTCGGGAGGGCGTGCGATCCCTTCATCAAAAGCCTGTGGGGGTTCGAACACTCCCCCGCCAGCAGACGACGACCACGACGGCGACGACGACGACGACGACGACGACGACGACGACGGCGACGACGGCGACGACAGCGACGGCGACGGCGACAGCGACGACGGCGACGTGTCCTGCCCACCCGACCGATTCGACCACGACAACGACAACGAGGGGTCTCGAACCCCGCCCTCCCACCACCCGCGCCTGCAAACGACGACGACGACGACGATGCTGACGACGACGACGACGACTACGCCGGCGACGTGTCCCGCCCGCCCGACCGACTCGTCCACGACGACGACGACGCGTCCAAACACCCCGCCTCCCGCCCCTAGCAAACGACGACGACGATGACGACGACGACGACGACGACGACGACGACGACCATGACGACGTTGGCGACGACGACCACGATGACGACGACAACAACGACGCCGTGTCCTGCCCGCCCGACCGATTCGACCACGACGACGACAACGCTGGGTCTAGAACCCGGCCCTCCCACCACCCGCGCCTGCAAACTACGACGACGACGACGACGCTGACGATGCTGACGACGACGACGACGGCGACGTGTCCCACCCGCCCGACCGACTCGTCCACGACGACGACGACGACGACACGTCCAAACGTCCCGCATCCCGCCACTAGCAAGCGATGACTACGACGACGACGACGACGACGACGACGACGACGACGATGACGACATTGACGACGACGACAGCGACGACGGCGACGACGACGACGACGACGACGACGACGACGACGGCAACGTGGCCTTCCCGCCCGACCGATTCGACCACGACGACGACAACGCGCCTGCAAACGACGACGACGCTGACGATGCTGCCGACGACGACGACGACGCCGGCGACGTGTCCCGCCCATCCGACTGACCCGTCCACGACGACGACGACGACGACGACGACGACGACGACGGGCGACGACGACGACGACGACGACGACGACGATGTCTCCTGCCCACCCGACCGACTTGCCCAGGACAAAGACGGCGACGTGTCCAACCCCTTGTCTGGCAGGGAGAGGGGGTTCGAACCCCTCCTCCCCAGCGCCTGCAAACGACCACGATAGCGAGGCCGTGTCCCGCTCGCATGCCCCCCGACCGACTCGCCCACGACGACGAAGACGACGATGACGAAGATGACGACGACATGTCCCACCCGCCTAATCGAACGACCCGCCCACGAGGATGACCAAGGGGACGACGACGGACAACGACGAGGCCCATCGCGACGAACGACGAACCACGAACGCTGACGACGACGACGACGACGACGACGACGACGACGACGACGACGAGTTGTCGTCGTCGTTTGAAGGGGCGGAGAACCTCTGCCTACACAATTGCGTACTGGGCGTCGCGGAGCACCACCACCACTGCGTCTTCTTCCGCAGAGGTCCAAAGAGCTCTCCGGAGCTCCCTGGGGGCCCCCCGAGGCTCTCAGAGGACCCTGGCCAGGGCTCCCGAGACCTCCAGGCCTCTGGTGCTGGCTGGGAGCGAGGCGCCGCCGACCAGGAGGAGGAGGAGGAGGAGGAGGAGGAGGAGGAGGAGGACGAGGAGGAGGACGAGGAGGAGGAGGAGGAGGAGGGGGAGGAGTGGGAGGAGGAGGAGGAGGAGGACGAGGAGGGAGGAGGGTGAGGGAGGGGGAAGGAGGATGGGGAGGAGAGGGGGAAGGGGGGGGTGGAGGGAGGGGGAAGGCCAGAAAAGGGTGGAGGAGGGAAGGGGAAGGGGAGCGGTCGAGGAGGGGGGTAGGAGGGGGGAGTAGGAGGGGATGAGGAGGGAGGGGAGGAAAGAGAGGTAGTAGGGAGGGAGGTGAGGAGGAGGGAAGAGTGAGGATGTAGGGGGAGGAGGGATGGAGTGTGATGAGTATGGATGAGGATTCGATCCGTCTATCCATCCTCCGAGGCCGGGGTGCCTCGATCTGATGGGCTTGCCGGCGCCCTGGTTTGGGTCGGCTCGCCGGCTGGGTCGGGGGCCGGGTGCTCCTCCTCCTCCTGCCTCCCTCCTCCTCCTCCGCCTCCACCTCCTCCTCCTCCTCCTCCTCCTCCTCCTCCTCTCCTCCTCCTCCTCCTCCTCCTCCTCCTCCTCCTCCTCCTCCTGGTCCGCGGAGCAGACCTGCAGGAGCTGCGCCACAGGCCCACGACCCCCCGAGCGTCCCCGCGAAGCGCCCTGCGGCCTCCACGGGCTTCCAGAGCCAGTACATCGCAAGCCAGGATTTTGAAGATGCTAGCCGGAGAAAATGAAGAATGGAGAAGTCGGGGCGCAAGGGACGGGGTTCACTGCAAGCGGGAGTCAGTTAAAGCGCAGGATCTTGCAGCACCTTGTATGGGGCAGGGTTGCACCGACCTGGGATTGGGTGCAGGATCCTGAAGGATCCTACACCCAAGCCCAGGTGCTGAAGGATCCTGAAGGACCCTGCAGGATCCTGAAGGATCCTGAAGGATCCTGCTTGGGTGCAGGATCCTGACCTGGGCTTGGGTGCAGGTCTTGCAGGATCTTGCAGAGCCTGGCTGACCAGGGTCTGTAGTGGCCCAGGTCCGTCGATCGCCGGAGAATGTTTCAGCCCACGGCCGCAGGCTCCTCGCCCGCGCCAACGTCTTGGTTCACCAAAGTCGGGCTGACGACGACGACGACGACGACGACGACGACGACGGCGGCGACGTGTCCTGCCCGCCCGACCGACTCGTCCACGACGACGACAACGAGGGGTCTCGAACCCCTCCCTCACACAACCAGCGCCTGCAAACGACGACGACGACGAAGACGACGACGACGACGACGACGACGACGACGACGACGACGACAACACGACGACGACAACACGACGACAACACGACGACGACAACACGACGACGACAACACGACGACGACGACGACGACGACGACGACGACGACGACGACGACGACGACGACGACGATCGAAGACAGATCGAAGACACCGCTCGATCCTCGACCGCCGCCAGGCGACACCATAACGTGGCCGCGCGGAGCTCTCCCAGCCCCCCCCCCCCGCCGGGCGCGCCCGAGGAGGCGCTCCTGGGCTCCGCGAGGCAGGGCGCGCTGCTGCCGCGCATTGCCGCGCTGGAGGACTGGCTGCCAGGGCCGGGCGCACCTGCCAGGGCATCGTAGTCGTCGTCGTCGTCGTCGTCGTCGTCATCGTCGTCGTCGTCGTCGTCGTCGTCGGTCGTCGTCGGCGTCGTCCGTCGTCGTCGTCGTCGTCGTCGTCGTCGTCGTCGTCGTCGTCGTCGTCGTCGTCGTCGTCGTCGTCGTCGTCGTCGTCGTCGTCGTCGTCGTCGTCGTCGTCGTCGTCGTCCGTCGTTGTGGGGGGTCAATGCAAACTGGGGTCAGTCAATGCGCCGGATCTTGCAGGATCCTGCAGGGCCAGGGGCGCACTGACCCGGGCTTGGGTGCAGGATCCTGCAGCATCCTGCAGAGCCTGACTAGCCTGGGTCTGGATTGTCCAGGAGGGAAAAAACACACAGGCACAATTAATCTTCGATTCCCCCGAAAATATGGGAAAATATGGGAAGTGGGGGGGGGGGAAGACAGAAACCCAGAAAGCATAGGAAAAGTTGGGGAATCTGTTTATTTGTGTGTATTTATTCGTGTGTCCTGGGGCCCCTTCAATTGACCTGGGTCAATGGATCCGCGAGGCAGGGCACTCCAGCGCGCTGCTCAGGGGCAGCGGCAGGCGGGTGTTGCTAGAAGTGGTGTCCCCCGCGTGTCGCCCCGTCTTGGGAGTCCTCGTGGCCCTCTGGGCGCCGCGAGGGGGGCTCCAGAGAAGGGCCATCTGGGCCTCCCCAGAGGTCCTGGGGACGCATTGTCAGAGCCCCGAATCATCAGGGGTAACTCAGGTCAGGATCAACTCGGGTTCGTCTTTCGGGAATCCGAACCCGAGTTACCCCGGACCCGAGTTACCCCGGATAACTCGGGCGCCCAACATTGGGTGCGGAGCGCTCCTCACAACATCCGCGACATGGAGGGATGGGCTCGGGGGGGCAACGCATCGGCCCCCAATCGCCCATCCGGTGCTCTGCGGCAGCATATCGCATGTTCTGCTGGAGCGTAATATGTTGTGCTGGTGCTTTTTTAAAACATCGACGAAAGAGGGGGAAAAAGCTTGTTTTCAGGACCACAAGTCGGCTTTTTCAAAACCGTCAGGACTCCTAGGGTTTGATTGTCAACCGATAACAACGCTTGATGCTTCCACGCATGGACATGCACAAACATAAGGGAAACCATAGTTTTCAAGTATCAATCCTGAAAACCCCGAAGGACAACCACAGATTCCTGAACACTGGTTTGTTTCCCATCTTCCGCTATACTTCCAAATGCTCTGCAGGAGCAGAAGGGGATGCTCCTCGGGCAGGGCATCTGTCGTGTTCTCCCCGCCAGTCAACTCCTCCGCAGAAGGGGCCAATAGGGCAGCACATTATCAAAACTGATCGGCGGAAGCATCTGACCCGTAGCCTTAAGTCGTGCCTGTGCCTCTACAGTCAAAAAGAGTAACTAAAGAAACAGTCTGGGGACGATGCCTTCTGGATGTTTGAATATTTGGGGTGCACTGTTTGCCTACTTTTTATTCGTCGTCCAAAATCCGCCTGCAGGGGGACATTCAGGAGGGAGAAAAAAACACACAGACACAATTAATCCTCGATTTCCCCGAAAATATGGGAAACTATGGGAAGTGGGGGGGAAGACAGAAACCCAGAAAATATGGGTAAACATGGGGAATCTGCTTATTTGTGTGTATTTATTTGTGTGTCCCAGGGCCCCGTCAGACATGCCCGACCTAACCGTAGCCTCCTATCGGCCCAGAGCCCAGTGAGCGTGGCTGCCGGGAGGGCGCCTGCGCCCCTCGGGCGTGCCCCCCGGCATGGGCTGCAGCTCTTCGGGTGCCGGTCGGGTGCGGGAGACGACGGGCGCCCAGCACCTGGGCGCGAATTAGTGGGGGGAGACAGTGAGGTGGGAGAGGAGGAGGAGGAGGAGGAGGAGGAGGAGG